AAATTAGACGAATTTCCGCCACGTTGCAGGATTGAAGTGCGATCCGCGATGCTCGCGTTTTTCCCGTGAGAACTGATGCATACAATCATCCCCGCGTCACGTAAAATATCGGCTACGACCTGCTCGCACCACGTGCGTGACGTTTACTGCACGTAAGTCGTAGGTCGGGTTACGTAAGTAGTTCGCAGGCAATACGACGCGTAAGTCAAATTTATGTCGCGTGTGACTTACGTGATAGAAACGCAATTTGGAAATAATTTGAAGTTTTAGATATTTGTAACTTAATTAAATATATATCACGTAAGTCAAATTTATATGACCTATGACCTACGTGACACAAATGCGGATTTTTTCGTATGCCGTATAAATCTTTTAAATTTCCGGTCATTTTGTTTACTTTCTGCAAGCTTCCGAATACTATTTTTTCAATGCTCTACGCACGCTCGGTTAAAATAGCCCTGAAATCGAATTTATATGACGTAAGTCGAATTTACCTCGGGTACAAAATTAATTTGAAAAATATTTTATGTTAAACGCTATTATTATCATGTCTTCATTATCCAAAGAGCAAGAAACTCTGCAATTTAATAATGACAAATATACAACCGTTTTGGACAAATAAAGCTGCTGATTGATTTAGCTCTTCTAGTGATATCTTAAAGGACTTCAGACGTTTCTATTAGCGTATAACATAAAACCTGAGACAAGCGCTCTGAGTATTTGCCGTTAAAAGCTGATTAGTGACTCACACACGTTGATAATTTTGGAAGGTTGGAATCCGGCACTTTAAGATGTCGATAGAGTTTTTCATCCACAGCAGTATTGGCAGAGCCAATTTACATATTTTTAAAATTGCAATCCATAGTATCAAATTTGTTGCTTCAGCTTTAAACTTAAACCACCTCATTCGCTGTTAGATGATAGATGATATTATAAGGTTTTTTTTTTCCATGTATAGAACTTTAAGTTGTAATAAAACAACGATGGATTATTCGATTGACATGAATTTTATTTATCCGAAGGATAATCTTTTGGCATTACATTTTAAATATGATTTCTTGCATATGACCGCCACGGCTGGCGCGGATATAGTCCAATCTGGACGTCTAATTTTCCAACCTTTGTGGCCGTATATCGACAATAATACGCCGAATGTTGTCTTCCAAATGGTCAAGCGTTTGTGGCTTATCCGCATAGACCAATGATTTTACATAGCCCCACAGAAATTAGTCTAGCGGTGTTAAATCACAAGATCTTGGAGGCCAATTCACAGGTCCAAAACGTGAAAGTAGGCGGTCACCAAACGTGTCTTTCGATAAATCGATTGTAGCACGAGATTTCAATTCAGGCATGAAAAAGTTAGTAATCATAGCTCTATACCGATAACCATTGACTGTAACGTTCTGGTCATCATCGTTTTTGAAGAAGTACGGACCAATGATTCCACCAGCCCATAAAGCGCACCAAACAGTCAGTTTTTCTGGATGTAACGGTTTTTCGACATACACTTGAGGATTAGCTTCGCTTCAGATGCGGCAGTTTTGTTTGTTGACGTAGCCATTCGACCAGAAGTGCTCTTTATCGCTAAACAAAATTCGCTTATGAAAATCGGGAACAACGGCAATCTCGTTTTGGCCCATTCGACGAATCTACGCCTTACTTGATGATCGTTTGGCTTCAATTCTTGCACGAGTTGGATTTTGTGAGCACGTAAACCAAGACCTTCAGCAAAATCTTCCATAAAGTGGATGGACACAGATCCGATTCCTGTGCTCGACGGCGGATGGACTCATTCGGGTCTTCCTCAATGCTATGCTCTACAGCAGCAATAGCTTCTTCTGTACGCACCGTATGGCGTCTCTGGGGATGCTAGTTGTCAATAAGAGTAAACGTTCCATGGTTAATCGAATTAACTGCTCTGATGGACGATTTTGTCGATGATAAAATGGACGTAGTGCGCGATACGTATTCCGCACAGAACCATTATTTTCGAAATAAAATTGCATTATTTGCAAGCGTTGTTCAGGCGTGAGACTATTCCTGATGAATTGCCAAACCAAACTGAGAATAAATCTCTTGACAGCTGTTAACAACTTAAAGTTCTATACATCGAAAAAAAACACCCATTACATAGTCTATCTATTTACTCATCCAAATAATACGTCAACTGACTTATTGGCATTAATTGAGGTTAAGACCTGAAGATATATTAAATACAGGATTTAGGTCGTCGGGATTGCTTGAAAAACGTAAAGCACTTGGGAATCGCCAGATTTATGCTTCCAAACAGAAGAAATGTCCAAAGTGTATGTTAAGACGAACGTCCTGTAGCGATCTTATTTCACAGTAAGAAATGATGAAAAAATCGAACTTTTCACAAAGAACTTTGGTGTCAATAGTTGTGGCAAAACAAGCCATTAGTTTTTTAGTCACTAAGTTATTCAGCACCTAATAAGAATCCATATTGCTTAAGTCAAATTCGCACCACGTATGACGTGATATAAAGGCGGCCGCCTTTGGGGTTAATGTGAACAAAATTAAGCAAACAAACAAACAAAAACAAAGTATAAAAAGAAGTTTTCAGCGAGCAAACATAACGAGATGTCGTTTTTTTTTTTATTAAAGCGGATAAAGCGAATATATAGCACTAAAACTCCTGCCCAAATGGCGACGATATAGATTTTCCAACGGTCCGTCGAATTAATTTTAAAAAGTGTTGGCTCGGAATTTTTATCGCCCCATATAAATCTTTTACAACTGTTTAGGTGGCGTTAAAGTTAATTTTCCGCTCATTTTATTTACTTTTTACAGCTCGCGGTCGAGTAGACAAATTCACGCAGCCCGACACTTTGTTCATTTTTAAACAATCTTCGTCGAACGCTGCTCCCATAATTATCAGCGCTATTTGCGAACTCGTGCAGTGATAAATCAACTCCTGCGACTATTATGCGTTATTACCGCGGATATTTATGGGTGGTGTCGATATCCGAGAGTTAAATTCCCCCATATCGGCCGTTTATGTAACTGAAACGCGACTAAAGATTCGAACGGGGTCCGAGAGGAGAGCTTTGAGGCACTCCCCCACCTGTCGGTAATTACTTTCGAATATCGATCGCGGCCGTTACTTTCGAAATTACTCTTTGAGGGAAGGGGGCAATTTCATTTATCAACATGCGTAAAGTTGATCATCGAAAATGACGCGTCATTAGCGGGAGCGACGTCGCTTTTTCGGAATAGGATCCGACGTCGATTTATGAGTAATTACGAATAGGTAGTAATTAGACGCACTTTAGCCACAGAACGTCCCAAATTTCGTCGGAAAATTAAGTAACACCGCAGTACTACACTTGAGCGACATAGCCCCGATCAGAATAGAACCTTGCAAAATCAAATAGAATCGTCCTTTTCTGTTATACTTCATCTATTTTACCGACGAAGCACCATCCCAGCTGTTCCGGTCTTAGTTTCCACCATGTGTGCCTCATCTCTCTTTTCCACTGAGCATTTCTTTAACAAATGTCAAGTTAATTCAACGCATTTTCACGTAAGTCCCATTCTTCTCACGTAAGTCAAATTTACGCCGCATGACCTACGCGTCGCTTCGTCAAACGCCACGTAGAGGTCGTCTTAGAGCCTAAGGAAAGTAGATGCTTTCGGCGTGTCTAGGTAGTTTTTGATGACGATTCCCGCGGGAATTTTCCGGACGCACGGTGTAAGGCCGTGCCTTAAAAACGGGTCGATTACGCCTTGTCGTCGTTACCGAGCGCTAGACATCCTTTCGGTGCGCTGGGGATGATTAATTTTTAATAACGCCAGTTCGGCCTGTGACCATCAGATGGGAACCGAGGATGTTAAAATAATTATTGTACGGCGGCGGCGGGCGAGGGGCGGCCCAAGAGAGCCGCATATTAACGATAATTGCACTAGAAAATTGGCCTATTAAGTTTGGTTCAACCGATGGCGGGGGGGACGTGGAAGACCGATGACGTGGAAAAACGGGCCGTCGAACGACGACGCCGTAACGAAAATTTTGCACCTTCTTGACCATCATAAAAAAGGGTTTATATTTAATAAAATCTCAGTGTAACGTCCATACGTCGGGGTCGCGTGGGTCATAAGACACACGTGAGTGTGGACATCACAGACACGTAGATATATGTCAATATTAAAATATTAAAATTGCAATTTGAAGTGCAAAAGTTTTCATAATCATTTTTTTTAATTTCATTTCATAAAGTATGAAATAGGTTCTATAAGAAAGTAGGACTCACGAGCTCTAGTTTCTGCACCAATCAATCGGACATAATAAAAAAACCAAATTAATAACCGATTTTCTTTAAATTACATTATTATTAATTATATTTCACCATCTACGTGATACAAAATCGATGAATTTAATGTTTGTTTTTTATGTTCTAGAGCGCGTTTAATAAGAGGTCACGGCTATAGTTTTTTCAGCAAGATATCTAAGAAACTCAACGTATTCCGATCAACAGAATCAAAAGAAACCGAAACAAAACCTTCCAATTTCCTTTAATTTCTATTTTTATGACGTCGCACCAGGTCCTTGTAACTGGTCTACTGGTCTCATACAGCATGTTAAAATGAACCAAGCGTAGTGTCACCTTGGGGACGACCATATCTAGCGCCGCGCCACCTACGGCAAAGTCAAAAATACGCAAAAGGGGTGCTTTCTGAATTTAGTTGAATTTAGTTGACAGCAGAAATAATAAGATTTTTGAACTTACCTTATTTGATGTCTTCAATGTTCTCACGCAGCTTGTCAGGTAGTTTAAAACAGTTTAGTTTGAATCGTTTTTTTATTACGCAAATAGCGTGTGTCTTTTTCCTGCGCGATATTCGCATTTGTCACTGTGGTTTCAATACTTGCTTCTTTTTTATTGGTAGATTCCCCATTTTTAAAAATATTTTCAAAAATTAAATTAACAAAATAAATAAAACGCAATCGTTATGATAAACTATTTAGTTTATTTGACTTTCATATACACTCACAAAATGAGAGCGGCTGAAGCCGTAGGATACAAACATTTACCTAGAAGTTATTATTATTAATATTCATCGGGGTTGTTTGTCGAAAAATCGGAAAACACAACAATAACATCCTTCGGGAGGGGGCGGGGGGTCTGTGGGTGTGGGTGTGTAAAAAAAATATATATTAAAAATATGGCGCGGGGAAAATGGTCCGCCGAAAAAACAACCAACTAAACGCGCAAGCTACGTCATAGCACTCTCCCTCAAACATACGCGAGTTTTTCGCGTCTCCCCCCCGCCAAGTTTTTTGTACAAACTAAACTTATGGTATTTACATCGCGAGAATTCGAAAATAAATAAAGACGTCGCAGTAACCTAAACCTAAAATCACTTTTCTTGTCAAGTCTCGCGGGGAGGGGGGTCTGAGTACGTACCCGAAAAATTATACAAAAAAAAACACTTAAACGCTAAGTGATCTGGACGTATTTACAAAAATGCAGCGGCGAACCTCCCTGGGAGGGGGTAGTACTTTATACACCGTCGATCGAAACAAAACGCACGAAATAATGTAAAGGGGCCACTAGTAAAACAAATTCACAAAAAAGGTCGAGAAATTTAGGTAAACAAACCTTTATTTGGGGAATTAAAATGAGCCTTATAGAATTGTAACCTGGTAGCTTCTTAGGTTCGGTTGATTTGTGCAGTTTTTGCGTATCATAAGACCAAGTGACGAAATCAATTTTGCAGCCATAACTCAAAAGACGTGATCTTGATTTCAAACGCAGACGCCTCAAAAGTATTTAACTTTTTTAACTTCAATAGAGAATTTATTATTACAGTTGCTAATTGTAAGTACAAACTTAGAGTATGTTAGTGTTATTTTATGGTCAAAAGCGTCAATTAGTCATAGAGCTTTAAATTACAAGCGTGTTATCACATTTGCAAATTTAAATTTACAAGTGAAATTAGTTTACATTCTAGGGCTCAGTTTAAATTTAAAGCTATAATAACGAAGGACCCTAAACCTGTATATAAAATAAACTCTTGAGCCACTAGTGTCCATTTAGTAGGAATTTAAAGTTACTAGGGTCGCCAGAGCCCTGCAAGTTCTAATTTCCTGTTACAAGTCCCAAATAAAACTCTCAATTTGAGTTACAAGGGCGGAACATAAAATAAAATTTTTGTTTTTCTAGTTGTTGAAACTTGAAGCTACGCTGAGCTACAGGTCGAATTTTAAGGTTAAAGTTACGTTATCAGTGTTAGTACTACGGAAACAAAGCTCGGTGACCAGGGAATCATGCACAAACTATAAGGAACCCCCGTTGGAGTAGCATTTTTGTAAAACGTCTGTTAATATTGACGGCTACGAGGCTACACGACCTACCTGTCATTTAGGAACCACGCACCGGAAAATAAAAACGAAATTTCAAAGCCTAGCCCCATAGCCGTCGCGTATGATTGAGAGAAAGCGGTAGTATAAAAGAAACGAAACAAAACAAACAACTCACAGATCAAAGAGTATTACTTTTTGTTAGTCGAATGGAGAGAAAGAGAGAGAGTGAGAGAGCGTTTTTGTACTGAGGTATACAAAAGCAAACTGCGCACTTACCGTGTAAAAAATTCAACAGTCGTTAGTAGAAAATATTCGGAAAGTGAGGCGATATGAAACATGTTAGGAACCACTTGTATGGGCGAGGAGGGGCTACCCCAACGCGTGCGGGGCGACTTTACCGACCACCCCTATTGTTTCGTCGATTTTAGATCGTATACGAGGTGCTTCGCGGAAAATGAAATTTTAAAATTGCACTTTGCCAATTGGCCAGAGTTTATTTACCGTCTATTTGAGTTTTTTGTCAATAAAAACCATAAAATAAACTTGGTCGTCCAAGTAAGATGACCCCCTATCCGATCTGTCTTAAGTATTAGGTCTCTATGTATGCAGCGTGTTTAGTTTTTCTGGCCAGGTACAAACTTGCTCATTATAAATATAACCCCCTGTACATTGAAACATATTCCAAGAGCGCGTTTCACGACGAGTTCAACGATATACGACAGCGGGCATCTGCGATTCGACTTTTCGTGCCCATAGGTGTTTTTCTTCATTTTGTGACACAAACGGAAACTGTCATATATGCCAAGCAAAATATTGAAGTTGGTGCTACAGTAATTGGAATGGTTCATCATCACACTAATTTGCTTTATTTTATTACCGAAAATCAAAAACGGAAAACTATATATTATACTGTTTTATAGTGATCAATTGTAAGGCAAAATATACACAAACTTTGTTCCTTTTTTGCTATATATATAACGACAGGTTTCCTTAATGTCAAAACAAAGATAAGCGCTTTAGGATACGATACTTCGAGGAATAAAGTATATAGTTCAACTCTGAGCATGCATATACAGGCTGGCCTGAAAAAATAAACCCTGCATACATGTGCACCATATACTAAAGAAGTTGCAGTCAACGGCCATTCAGTGGCACTTAAAAACAATTAGTATTTTTGCTATAGTTCAAAAAAAATAAATATACCCCGTATAAATCAGAATATGGACTCTTAGGCACAGGGGCGTCTCGTGGGAGGTGGGGCGCGACAGTCGGTAAGGCCTCCCCGCGTCTAGAAATATCGAAAACAAAGTCACATCGAACCAACCGCACAAATAGCAATAATAATGTAATAATAAATATAATCAAATATGAATAGTAATAATAATCGTGTAATAGTCCAACGTCACATTCACGTTGTTACGTCTGCGCGCACGCGCCACGTCAACAATCACACATAGTTCCAAAGAAACTCACTAGTATGCGAGGCAGGTCATACCGAAGTATTCCCCAGTTTTGAGTTATTTTGGATTACGTTAAAACCTAGTTAAAATTTTAAATATATATAATATATATATATCTACTACTATGTATACGTACAATGCCGGTGAAAACCAACCATATGTTTAAAACATAATAACTATATTATTACTTAAAAACACTGTGTCGATTATTAATTAGTAGGAACCAATTTGACTGCCGGAACGGGGATCTGAGTCGACGTTTCTAACTCGAAAAAGCGACCTATCGTCTCCCCCCTCTTGACCAGCTGATATATTCAGTTACATATACATATATCTGATAAATATGGCGGGCGCGTTCACCTCATCAACTTCTTTATCAATAACTAATGATCAATAATAATAGCGATAATAATAAAAGAGTTTTCTTTTTTCTCGCGCACATCACTTAATAATTTTTAAAATCGAATAAAAAAATGGTGGGGACGCGTCTACTTCTTTTAGTTCAGGAACAGGGTTTGGACGCGCCCTTATAGGAACTTGTTTTACTGGGCCCTAGCGGGAACCCTGGCCGCTCTTGCAGATTTCTTTTTTAAATTTTATCTACATCTCGTTAGTTTAGGAACATTGTACGACGCGGATTTCTCACACCCGTCGTCGGTCCGTTCAAAATGTACGCGCGAGCCGAGGACCGGCGCGTGTATGCGCGCCCTTAGCGACCGCTCAACTTATAGTAACTATCCGTTGCAATAGGAATCTTGAGCCTATCAACTATACAACATATACACGACTACATTGACACGGCTACGTGGAAAGAAACGTAATAACTTTTAAAAATATATAGTACATCAGCTGTAAATATATAAATCTCATTGCTCTCTGTCTTACAAGTGTTTTTTTGTAGGTAGGTGGTATATCGATATACATAAGTATTCTCAAGTCCATAAGCTAAGGGGTGACAACCTGCTTGGCGAGTTAGAAATGTCAATGTCGAGAAATAACTCACGCCGGAAGGTTTCGGAAACTCTGTTGCATATTTTATCATCAGGCTAAAGCGACAACAGTTTTCGAAAAATACACAAAATTAGATTGTCATTGTGGTCAGTCGAACGCTGTATACGTGTTGCAGTTCGATGTGTATCTAGCCATAGAAGAAAACAATAAAACAATCCTCCGGTGCACCTTCAGATGATGATTATTTTCGTTATCATTCTTCACCACTAAGTTACCGAAGTTTATAGAAAGAAAGGAAAAGAAATGCAATCTTCTTCTTCCTTTCTATTCACAATTGCTAAAAAAATATGGATCAGATGCTTAAATTCAAAGTGGGAGCAATTAAGGTTATCATTGTTCCCTATATTTCATTTCAAACGCTTGCCACAAAGAGAACCAATAAAATAGATAGTAACATGGTACACCTAAATTTCATCAGCGTTTGAAGTCATCAATTTTCTATCAATCGAGTTGACGTATGTATCCGTTTTCATCTTTATCTCTTAGTAAAATGTAAAATAAAATAAAAAAAGTAAACCGTTGGGTACTCATTGGTCACAAAATGGTCAATATAGCTTTTGACGAATGACAATGAGGAATTGATTATCATTTGCCAATTCACTACTTAAGGATATTTATCGAAAGAAAGGGAAAAAAATGCAGTTTTATTCTTCCTTTCGATTTTCAATTACTTCCACTGAGAAAGGATATGAACCAATTGCTCACACTCAAAGCGTACAATTAGACTGCAAACAGTTGTCAGAGCTCCCTAAAAATCAGTCGAAAGAATGTAGAAGAGACAGAAGTTGAGTTTGTATCTAAATGATGCACCCTCAAATGATTTTAAAACTACAACCACCGATTTGAATTGTTACTCAATATGGTATAAACAAATTTTGATAACCTAACCAAAACCAACTAAAATTTTCTGACCTGGTATGAGTCATTTCAGTTCTTTCGGATCGCTTGCGCAAACTCTATGAGCCACCAACGCAACCTGTCGCCACCCCTCAACCTACTCACAGAATCGGTTAACGACCACCGGCACCTGCTACTGGCTGCGCCACCTCCGAAGGACTCAAGAATCTCTTCTTGGCCTCCGGTTGACAAAAAGCGTTCGAATTACCATCCAGTCCTTGCTGTGGCGTTTCTTGAGCAGCCCTGGCCGCCAACAGCGTGATTTGATTGACCACGTCCTCCATTTCGTGACTCAAAGGCGACTCGGCCGGGGGCGTTCTCTGGTGCACCTCCAGGTGGTTCCTCAACTCTATCAACGTTTTGAATTTGTCGTGCGTGTTACACGCGCGACACTCGTACCCCGTTTGGACGACGCGGAACGCCCCCCTGCTCTGTTGGTCGGCGCCGTAGCATTGCCGTTGGTGAGCGAGCAAAGGGGAGTCGGTAGGGAACGCCAGGCGGCATTTCTTGCACACGAAACAGACCTCGATGTCGACGTCGCGGACCGGGAGGTCGGCTGGACGGTGGTAAGTGTCGGGCAGCTTGAGGGTGGTCACCCCCGGTTCCGAATTGCCGGCCGCCACCTGCTCCAAGACCGGAGCGGGTAGCGGGAGGAAAGACGGTCCGGAACCGGTGTCTAGAAGCAGTCCTCCGGCTCCCCCTGAAATGAAGAGAAGAGCGTGAGGTGGCACTACTAAAAACCTTTATTGCAAAAAATCATTGATTTCCATATTATTTGCTTGTATTACTTGATATAAATTGTCCATTTGATTGCACGTAGTTAAGTTGATATCATCTAGTTTGTTGATGTTTTCGTTACAATAAAGAAGATGCGAATCTTGACAAATATTTGGTCGATATTGACAAGGAAAGGAAGGAACAGAAAATGAGGGTTTCATTATATTTATAACCATCATAGTACAACTGGTGACAGTTTTTCAAGGTGCCCGAATTGGAATTGGACTTCAGAGAAAGTGTGTTGCTCCAGGTGGTAGCTTACCAAGCAAGACAAAGACAAAGATTAACCTCTCTTCCTTTTTAGTTCAAGGTGCACAATATGTAATCGGACAGACGAACCTAAATAAAACTCTATAGTTCTAAAACTTGTTCCAAATCTTATTACAATGTCAACCAGGTTGAGCTTCTAGGCTATAAATTAGAATGGCGGGTATATTAAGCCAGATAAGACGATCTGATCGTATCAGCCTTAAGCAGTGAGGTTTCAGTTGCATATCGTTTCTCAAGTGACTCATGGGGCGTTTTATATCACCGGAACAGCTCACCAAGTTCATTTCCCTTTTCAGATTGACATACTTTGTAAGTTTTTTCATGATTTCATGATTTCCTGAGATAGTAGGGTGAACATATTTGGATCCCGAAGGAGATGGGCATCATTAACATTATTGGTTCTTTGAAACTAATGACAATCCTCTCGATCGACAGTAATGGCGGGTACATTGGCGCGCGTGCCCCCACATCTTTTATTAAAACCCTGAAATTAAAACTGATATGTACCGGGCGTTATCTGTATCGGCGATTACCGCCTTTAAAGGCCCCATAAAGTCCAATAACGGCCTACATTAAAAACTGCTCCACACGAATCAAAATAAATAAAAGACATCATTAAGTGATTACATACGTGTCGATACACCAAACTCGACATTCTAAGCGGTCGACCAGCTCGTCGATGGTACCCGCGACGGTACCGTCGACGGCCGAATCGGTCGCTGGTCCGATACGCTCAGGCCTGACCCGAGACTTCATGGTCTTGTATAAATTTGTATCTACAGTTGTGTTTAGATTCGGGCGAGATTAAAATGTTGTGGGCCGGGCGCTCGCGTTTATTTTTCTCCGTGTCCCACCGGATCAACGTACCGCAAACAAACGATTTTCGTGCATAAATTATCCCGATAATTAGGTATCGGACACGTCCGAACGCCACCTAGTTCGTCGGTTAAAAATAAATCTTCAGTTTATTCGAAGCCCACGCGGGTGCGTATCGCCAGACTTTTTAAGTGTCCCCCCAAACCCTAATTCCGAATTTATATGGCGTATAATGATGATCATAATAATAAATAAATTGACATGTTTCATTTTGTATCACAAATATCGCTTTCTAAATAATTTTTCTATTTTAATTAATTTTATTATTATCAATACTAATAAAACCAAAAACAAAATACATATTACTGTCTTGTCATGGTAAAACGCGCAATATGTTTTTTATTTTTATGATTCTTATAGAAGCAGAAATATTATTTAAAATCTTTTCTTTTTTGCTATTGCAATATATTTTTATTAATATTATTGTTACGATAACCTAATGTTAATGGCAGCGAAAAAAAAACGTATTAATATCTACTGCCCTATACAATCATGATAAGTAAAACAAATTGTTATATTTAATTTTTTTATTAAATTTTAATTGCTAACGCACCCTTTATTAATATTTTGTTATAACCAATTTTATCATTATTGTCAAGATAAAAGCACCAATGACATTAATTATTACAAAAACAAAACATATTGATAATACTTAACCATACTGTATTAATTAAATAACGATATGAAAAATAAATTGGTATTGGTTATTAAGTTATTATTGTCATAATGAGAGCAATAAAGATGATAATCATTAATGTCTCATACACTGTAATAAAATTCATGATAAAAATAAATACATGTTCAATTTTTTTATTGCTAATGTAGGTATTGATCTTATGTTACAACTATTTAATAATTTATAATTGTCATAAGAGCGATAATAAGAATAATAACAAATATCAAACATGTTAATATCTAAAAATGGTGACTTAAAATTTAGGATACATAAAAATATTGATACATATTTTTATCATTAGTAGCAGTATTATTATTTCTATAAATTTTGTTATAATCAATTTTATTATTATCATTAATATCGACCATGTCAACCAGATTCGTTATTTTTGACTTGCTTTAATTCATTCAAAGCGTTAGTCATATATATTGTTTTCCCTTTTTTTTGTTAGTATTTTGCAAAATTTCCAAATGAAATAAAATACCATTATTAAATATACGACTTTTTAATATTAAATTTAAAATTAAAAAACTATGTCTTGATAGTATTAATAAATACAGATTGAAAAAAAGTCAAAACAGCTATTGCAGATTTTTTTTGGGCTTGTATAAATTTGATAAGATTTCCCAGAAAATCCAGGAATTTAACTGGCTAAAAATTGACAGTACTTTCAAGTACTTTTTGGCGTCTATGATTTTCCAAATTATAAGCACATCCAATCCGTCCTAATTACGAGCTAAATTACATTTTCGTAATGTTCAATCAGTGGCTTTGAGGCACCCCTACAGACTCTCACTGCCACGATATCGTTTATCTTTATTCGGCAGATCATTTTATTATAACGCTGTTGTAATATTTCATAGTATACCCGATCACATTCAATTAAATTCTTTAAGAACTATTTCAGGTGGAAACTGCTAACTACTCGAATAACTTGATTTTCAATGTTATTCTTTTTATTTTTACTTTGAATAATCGATTTAATTACATTTATCTATTATATTATATTTAATTTATCGATGTAATTATAACTTCATGTTTAGTTTTCAATTTAAACATTTAAGAGGTTACTTGGGGTAGCTTTTGCTAGACTTCGCCTCTTCTCTACCGGATATTTGAATATAACAATATACAACAATAAAGGCAATTTATTATTATTACTATTATAAAATATTCAAAGACAACAAAAAAGCGTACGAAGAAAATATAAAAAAATGGGATATATTCAATAATTAATTATCACGCGACCCCCCCGTTTCCGCGGCAACCCCCTCGAGCGAACTTTTTCAATAACGCCAGCGGCTCACGTCGCGGGCGCGACGGCGAATAATACACAGTCTAATTCGGAAAAATCGCGAGGCGGCGGCGGCGTCTCGGAAGCAAAAATCCATATCTCGCCCGCCCACCCCCCCGGAGGCGAACGAACCGCCCCCGCGTCCCCTAGCCGCCCCGCCACACTCCCGACCCCATTATAAAAGTTGCCGAGCGAAGAAGTAAATTTGGAGAAAGTCCACCGCCGCGCCCCGCCGCCTCCCGGGGTAGATGTGCTCCTTCAGACGCGAACAATTAAATAGGCAATTTATTTTTTACGACGAGACGTCGGGATTTTTTTTAATCGACAAAACCGCCGCGGTACGTAATTAAAAAGCCGAACGAACGGCGTAATTCGAGGGGGGACACCCGTTATTACACTTTTTATTGTTAATGTAAATGAGATTTTTCGGCGGCGGGGGCGGGAGTGCGGAAATTCGCGCCGATCGCGTGTTTTTTTAACTCGATTTGCCTCGTGGCACAAAATTATTAAATGCAGGTAATTTTGGGAGATGGGGGGAGTGTTAGTTAGTTAGTATCTAAGGATAAAACTCATTCGATAAAAATTTCTACTTTCCCAGACCAACAGATATTAAAAAAAAAATAAAAACCTAAAATTTTGAGAAAAATTTTCGGTCGAGGTAGATAATTTACCAGTCTACCTCCAGGATACCCTGGATTCTTTGATTTGATATTTCCCAACGGGTTTTATGTTTTAAAAAATAACACCGGATTCGAATTTCTTATCTATGCAAAATTTTATCCGCTTTTGAGAAATTGCCTTGCTCTTAACATAACATCAGGCAGTCTTCCATTATAAAATATTTTAAAATTTTGGTTACAGCCATAAACATGATGCGAATCCTTGATTCTTGAGGAAGTTTCATGGTTACACCAATTACCACACAGAAGTTAAAATCCAACGGCGTTAAATCGTATAATCTGAAAGTCGGCAACATATTTCAAGGGTCAACACAGCAGTAAACTATTAAATTTTGGGTTCAGTATACCCAATTTCAACTCCAGAACTTAATTTTGGCAGGAACCCAAAAATAAAATAACGTAATGGGTGTTGTTCCTATTTTAAATATTACACAATTCTTGTCATTTCTGGGTTCAGTACACCCAATTTCAACAGTTTCCTGAACATAATTATTTTCAAGACTTTGAAAGATTTAACAAAATGTAAAGAAATCAAAATGTGGGTGCTCTGTTTAAAACTCCCTTCGGCCAGAAATGGCACCAAGTTGGCAATACTTTAAAAAAAGGAAAATAATGAAAAAGACCGGAAAATCAGAATTTTAAGTTTATCACTTTTCGAACAGCTACCGTAAGATCTAAATCTTAATTTGTGAATTGTCTCAATATTGATTTAAACAAAATATTTACTACAAACGAACAGTCAGTGACATTTCCTCTTTTAGTTATTAAAATATGCATTATTTTTATATAAAAATATACATAAGATGATCTTAGTAATGTTCTTTTAGTTTTTTTCTTCAATTCAATTCCACTTCATTATAGTATAAAGAAATTTTACTTCGGTGTTATCAGTTTTCTTTTCTTTCTTGCTTGATTTGTTTAATTTTTTAATATCTTCTTTATAATAATCCTGAAAGCATCGATTCCGATCGAAAAATAAATATATAATAATTATTGCCTCCATTGTCACCTTTTGTCAATCCGATATAGCAAACCGAAACGTCAAGTAGAAAAACGAATACAGCATTTTCATGCAAAAAACAGTTCGCAGAAAAGGGGCCCGCGAGCCGGTTGGGGGGCAGGGTTCA